AACAACGGAGTCGGAGATGTCAAGAACAAAAGCCGCAAAAGCAAAGAGAAAGCAAAAATCAAAAGCAAAGATCAGAAGAGTTGAAAGCGATAAGAATCAAGGTGATGGAGAGGGAGGAGTATTTATACTCAGACAATATGACCGTTACGGGGAAACTGACGTTCACGAACCGTCGCCCTTAAAGATAGGGACGTTTCACGCTGTCAAAACGGTCGCACCTCGACAAACCAGAACCTGCCACGTAATAAAGTGGTAGGAGATCGTGGAGACGTGTAATGAAGGGGCGTAACCGCCCAAAATCGAAGAATCGGGCGCGTCGCTTCGCATCAACACGCGCCGTGCCAGAGGAGGTGCGAGTCTAGAGTAAGAAAAGTCGCGTCCTTTGGCTAAAGACGGCAAGTCGGCTGGAGTCCTAGAAGCTGGAGGAACTGGCCAAAGACAATAAAAATGACGTCAAGGCGGACCGAGATATACGTTCCCCCTTAACGTCAGGGGCCTCAATGTTGACATCAAATTCCTACGGACGTCGGATGAACGACACGTGGACAGGAAGAGAAAAAGGGGGCCGACCCGAGTAGAGCTAGGGTAATGTTCCCGAGCTGTGTAAACCGACCTCGGAGGCCTTACTATGTCAAGATACCGACCTTACTGCATAGGTGATCTCAAACATGGGCCGACGTCGGGACCGACAGACAGCATTAAATGCACGTCCATCAAGATAGCTAAGGGCCACGTGAGGGCATCATTGCGAAGGGGGCCCACTTGCTGAAAAGGCGCTGGGTCCTGTCACACTACATTAAATGCCGCCGTATCCCCCTCAAAAGACGAGCCCACCGTTACTATAAATAGCAGTATTAAACACAATACGAGGATCTTTTTCGACACATTTAATTCCGCATTTATCACCTCGGTCTTGTAATATTCTGAGACATAATTGTACTATTGAAAACCGACCTCAAGTCCTGTAAACCGACTTGAGCCAATCCCGAATTATTCCACGTATTAACCAATAAACTCGTACTATTCCTACGCAAGTCAAAGAAATTAATAATAAAGAAGGTTGATCAAATCCGTTTATCAACAGTGTAATAATTCAAATACATTATGTTATTTTTATAATCATATATAGAGTGAAAATAATATAAACAAACTATACCTTCAGGTGATTATCTATTTTAATTACAATAAAAGAGTATCAATAACTTACCACTTGATAAAAATAACATGTTCATTATTGGTGATACTTTTCAAATATCTAAATTTTGATACAAAATTCATTCACATGGTTAATAACAAAAATTTTCAAATATCTAAATTTTGATACAAAATTTATTCACATGGTTAATAACAAAAATTTACACAACTGAATTTTATATTTGTTTATTTATATTTTATTTTCTAATAAATGATTTTGAAATAAAATATAAATAGAGAGAGAGTGAGAGAAGTTATATTTGTCATAAATAAAGTAATTTATTCTAAAAAGAAGAAAAGTTTTAAACATCGTCTCTATGTATTAAGGACAAACATGCATGTCCATGTAAGATATATATCGAAATACAAAATAAACCTTAAATGAAAAAAAAAAAACATAATTTAAGTTTCTTTTACAAATATCAACCATGAATATGAACAAATGAAACCAAAGAAAAAAAATAACAAAATT